TTGTCAGTAACATGATCTAGTTTGTAACCTGTTTCCTGCAGAGCTTCCAGACGAGCAGTGAAGTGATACCTCACCACACACCAGTATCACCAAAAACTCTAATTTGCTGTGGCTTCAACCACATTGCAGTCTGTCCTTTTTAAACATTCTAAAAACAATTCAGATTTAAAAAGAATTTATTTAATTACTTGTTGGGTGCACAGCACATTTATTTTTGTTTCCAGTGCAATGTCTTTCTTTGTCATGTGAGCTCATGCTGTAGTTCCAAGTCAGAAGTGTCAAAAAGGTTCAGTAGAGGAATGTATTCCTCTTTGTTAAAGCTGTCCTTGAATTGTCGTGAAGGATCTTAAGTCTTCTCACATCATCTTTCAGACTTCCTCAGAACCTGTTGAACAAGGTGACAGTACAGTAACACTGTTTGCATTGTGTGGCATGTTTAGAACCTGGGCGTAATAGCGTGTCTAAATCTTACATGCTCGTGGCTTACCAAGGCTGTTTTCTTTTCCCCCAAAGAGTCCGTTTAAAAAAAAGTAAAAGAAAATAATGTCCTGTGATGTCTGTTTAATCCTTACAATTTTGCTATTTGTCCATAGCTTACCAAAGAGAAGGAACATGGAAAGCTTAATCCTCGTCCTGGAAAGGTGAGTTGACCACACAAACCGCACTCTTCAGTGAGAGTTGTTTTCACCCACGTGCCTTTTAGAAACGTGTATAAGCTGACAGCCACTTTTGCCACTAACTTGAACTAGAAAGTAGCTAAAAAGTAATGTCAGCTAGCATATTAAAGTGTAATTTAAAAAATGGCCGTTAAAAGTCGAGCTTTCTTGTGAATCTCAGTCTGTTAACCATTAAGTACACAACACCTTGCTAGTTTACCTCAGGGGGAATAAGTTGTTGTTACAAAACTGTTTTTCTTGGTAACGTAGGAGCCTACACATCATTTCATAACCATTCTGCAGTAGACGACGCGGACTGTCTGGTTAAACAATAGGATTGTTATCAGATGCTAATAAAAACCTTCCCAAACCTCTTCTGTGGAATTTCTTCCTTTGATTGGTAACTAAAGTGCATACCTACTACACTATTGCCTGTACCATTGTGGCCTTGTGTTAATTTCAGACCTGCTTGTGCTTGTTGCTGGAGAGCTCTTGGATTTTCTCACTGAGGTTACCCACAAATGTTCTTAATAATTGGGGAGGAGCTTCTATTTAGGTTTAGGATCTTTCCCATGCTGTAGGGCCTTAAAGCTGGATGTCCCAAACATGTCTGTGCTTTAGACTTGGGCAGGTTTTTGTCATTCAATAAATTCCATATATACACCAATATATGCACATCTGCACCTCCATTTTCTCTTGTGATGTGCAAAATTTTATTCCACTTTTTAATGTTCTAGATTCTATTGATGATCAGGAAATGCAAGTATGCAAGAAGTTTGCAATCTCAATACCATATAGTCAGTTTTCTACTCTTTTAGTATTAAATGCCTAAAGGTTAAGGTTGAATGTGAAACTGGAGATGATGCCATTCAACAGTGTTGGCTTTATTTTCCTTTGACAATATAAAGAACTCTTCTGCAGCACAGGATAAAGTCTAGACTGCAGTAATTCTGTCTTTTCTACAGTTTCATCCCAGGTGCTTGTGTAGTATTAAATGACTTCTACTGTAATAGTAACACTGATTTTGTACTCAACGTAATTCATAATTATTATCAATATCTGATTATATGACCTGCAGCCTAAAACATCTGATTTTACAAGTGTACAGTCATAATTTATGCTAACATTTTGTCTTCCCTCTGGCTAGATGTATATTTTTGACCGACCGGGTATGTGCGGCCAAAGGATTGAGGTACACGGGGATGTCATTGATGCTACACCCTGGGAGCTGCAGGAAGCTATCTCTATCAGGGTGGTCAGAGGAGGGTAAGTGCTGGAAGCATTTATTTATTTATTTCCCCCTTCTCCCGTAAAACAAATCCATATGGATCCTCTTGCTGTCGGTAACAGATACTACTTGTTGTCTTTGTTTTTATTTTGGATTGTATTTTAGGCATGCATGTATGTATTTAACTTTTTATTATCTTGTACAGGACTTTGGACACATTTATTTATTAGGTTTTAACTAGTTTTACATAATATACAGTGAACATAAAATAAAATAATGACAAAAGGCATAATAATAGAAACAAAAATAAAGCAAGCCATAGCAAAGGGGGAGGAGAAGGTAGGCATACATATCAAA